TTTTTTTTTTTTTTTTTTTAAAGTAGGCTCCATACCCATCGTGGGGCTTGAACTCAGGATCCTGAGCTCAAGAATTGCCTGCTATATGGACCGAGGCTGGAGTTGACTGCTTATGATCATAGTTCGTTAAGTTTGACTTAATAACGAGCATCTAAAGCTGTGGGTTCTTTGAGTTATAACTTTGGCCAGGTCCCATGTATTTAGAAAGTCTGTGCTCTCATTGTCACCAATTTGTTTTCACTTGTTGAAGTTTGTACTGCTTAGTAAGTAGCTAAGTCAGGATTCAAAGCTAGATTGCCTGTCTCCATGGAGTGAGCCCTTCTGCTTTATACAGCTGACCCCTGAACAACATGTGTTTGAACTGCATGGGACCGTTTATATTATATGCAGAGTTTTTCTATATGGTACTCTACCGTATGTGTATTTTCCTTATGAAATTCATAATAACTTTTTCTTCTGTAGCTTAATTGGTGGTAAGAATACAGTATTTAGTACATGTAACATACAAAATATGTGTTCATCAATTGTTCGGATTATTGGCAAGGCTTCCAGTCAGTGGTGGGCTTTTGTTAAGTTCGGGGGGAGTCAGAGTTACACATGGGGCTCGGTGCTCCTAACCCCTGTGTTGTTCAAAGCTCAACTGTAATGTCTTCTCATTGTAGCACAGGACAAGTGAACCTCGATGATTTGTCCAGGATCACCAATTGAAATAGTTCATGGAGAATTAGAACAAAATCAGGTTTTTTCTTCAAACTTCCCAGGAACCTTTGTAATACCTGGTCACCAGAATTCTGTGGAAGATACCTTAGCTTTCTAGGGGTATAGACAGTGAAGATAACTAGGGGCCAGAAGTCCCAAGATGATTTTGTGTGTCGGCTGGACATTTCTTCTGCTGGTCTCTTCTGGGGTCATTCATGTAGCTACTGGGGGGCCTTGATCTTCCTGTTAAGTGACTAACTTGGACTTCCTCATGTGGCAGCTGGATTCAAAGAGTCCTTGTCAGTGACTTTTCTTTTTTTAATGTTTATTGTGACAGGGAGAGAGAGCACATGTGTGCGAGTGGGGGAGGGGGCAGAGAGAGAGGGAGAGAGAGAATCCCGAGCAGGCTCCGCGCTGTCAGCACAGAGCCTGACGTGGGGCTCGATCTCGCGAACCATGAGATCATGACTTGAGGCGAAATCAAGAATCAGACACTTAACCAACTGAGCCACCCAGACGCCCCTGTCAGTGCCTTTTAAAAACAGCTTTTTTGAGGTCTGTTTTACTCATTTCAAAAGTACAGTTTTAAAAACTCTGTCAAGTGGTGCAGTCATCACACCATAAATCAGCTTTAGAACATTTTAATCCCTCCAATAAGATCCCTTATACCCATTTACAGTTAACTCCTCTTCCCATCCCCTGCCCCACGCAACCATTAATCTGCTTCCTGTGTCTATAAATTGCTTTTTCTATACGCTTCACTTAAATGGAATCGTGAGTGTGTAATCTTTGTCCAACTTCTTTCATTCGGCAACTTCTTTCATTCGGCGTGCTTTTGAGGTTACTCCAGGAGATTGCTTGCCTCGGTTTGCCCCTTTTGTTGCTGAAAGATGTTCCATTCTATGGATATACCATTTAATTGGGTTTTAATAGATCTACAATTTGTAACATTTTTGAAACATTTTTGATCCAGGTTTGACATCAGTGGGCCATAGTGTAGCCTTTAGTACTCATTTTTTTGGATGAAAACTTTTGGGTGGCCTAATGCATTGTTTGCCTTTAATCTTTAATGTTTCTTGGAAATTTTAAAAGAATGTGTCATGTCTCTTTAAACAGTAGAATCTATTCTGTAGCTGTCAACTCACGTTTTTATGAAAGTTATTCAAATGTCCTACCAGTTTTATCAGCCCTCTTCTTTTTGAATCTTTGACTGTATAATTGCCATTTTGTCAAATTCTTGATTTTCTGATAGCGTTTTTAAATATAACGCCGAGTCTGTTCAATGTTTACACCTCTTCTAGAGGCAAATCCTTGGGAGATGCAGGCTGCCGCAGCGAAGCAGATAGCTCCTGGTAAAGCCTACCGCAGTAATGGAGGAAACGTCCGGAAAGGTGAGGGGCCAGGCCAGCTGGCTTTATTGCGGGTGGAGAGAGGTACCGAACGTAATCGAGCTAGATAGTTCTCTGGCGTGCTATGGCTTTAAGCCTTCTTTGTGGCGAGGCGGTGGGATGCGGCACGGTTTTAATTTGGCAAACCCAGGTGACTTCTGGGGGATGTGGGCAGCCCACACAGGGGCTCTCAGGTAAAGGGAAGAGGGGGGGAAGAAAAGGTGAGCCAGGAGAGAGGGTTTCTGTCCGACCAGGCCTTCAGGAACTCCTGGCGGGAAGTAGCCTGCAGGGGGATGAGTGGGAGGCGGGCAGGTCGACCTCGCCGCCCAAGTGGCAGATGTTGTCTTCACACAGACCTGGAGTTTCTTTTTCTGTGGTAATGGTACGTGAGAAGACAAGAAACAAGAGCATAAGAAGCAGGGCGACTGAGCTTTATGTACTTACGAATATATGTGGTTTCAACACAGACGCACACACACACAGAACACAGAATTTAGATAAAATATAGGAGAATATTTTTGCAATCGTGTGGTAGAGAAAGCCAGCGAGACAAAACCCAGAAGTCAGAGAAGAAGAGACCCATCCATTTAACTATCTTAAAAACCACGGTGTGACAAGATTTTATAGAAAATTCAAAGATAAGCAGTAACCTCGGAAAAAGTCACTCATATTATAAATCTAAAAAACAAAGGATTAGTATCCAGAATGCAGAACGAAGTCCTATACAGATCCTGCAGGAAAACATAGAATGTGACAGTGACGCTCACCCTGCTGGCCTGGGTTCCAGCCCCGTGTTTATGATAGTTCGCTAGACATTCACATCTGGCTGTTTTATCCCTCACCTTCAACTCTGCTTGCTTGGAACTGACCTCGTTGTCTCCTCCCTCCCCCCTTGCTCTTGCCCTGCTCTTCTTCACAAAGTGCCTGTCCCTCTAGCCCCACGTTTTTCCATGCAACTGTAATACCACGTGGTAAACCTTAGCCTTATCTCAGAATGATGTTCAAGCAGGGGGTACCCGGTGGGCAGTCAGGAAATCAGTTGAGCTGATTGTGACGAGCTTTTTTGAAATATATGAAATAGACCAGAAAATAGCAAAACACATCAGGCATAGAGTAGTTACTGTTTTATAAACTTTTTGTTTCACTTATGCACATATGTATGTATGTGTGTACTGGATCTTGATAAAAAACATAGTTCCGATTATGTTCTTAGTCAACAAAATTTTTTTTAATTCTTTTTAATGTTTATTTTTGAGAGAGAGAGAGAGACAGATGCGACTCCAGGAGGGGCAGAGAGACAGGTAGACAGAGAATCTGAAATAGGCTCCAGACTCTGAGCTGTCAGCACAGAGCCCGATGGGGCGTGGGGGGGGGGGCTCCACCTCAGGAGCCCTGAGATCATGTCCTGAGCCGAAGTCGGACGCTAACTGAGCACCGTCCCCCACCCCCGGCGCCCCAGTCAACAAAATTTTCAAAGCCATTACCTCTCCGTCATCTACCGTTCCCAGTGGACCTCCAGGCCTTGCCAGCTGTGGCACTTCTCGGTCCCACTTGTACACTTGGTCTGTGTGCCTCCGTCCCCCCTTCAAGCCTCCGTTCTTACTGTTGCCAGGGGTGTCCAAACTTCCGTTCCCTTTTAAGAAGCTTTCAAGAGTTGTCTGTTGCCTTAGAATAAGAGCCAAACTCCTGAGCACATCCTGAAAGGCCCCCTTCTGCTCATAGCTGCTGTCATTTCCATGGAGCTGTTTGACTCCAAACAGAGTGGCTTACAGTTTCCCGAAAATGCTGTGTTCTGTCATGTAGCTAACTTTGTACCATGCAGTTTGATTTGCCTAAAATAACTGTCTATTTTGTTTCAAAAGGGATTTGCCTAAAATAACTATTTTGTTCCGAAACACTTTTTAAATGTAAAGTTTTCTCTGAAGGTTGCTTCTCCTTTCTTCTCAAGCATTTGCCTGCTCATTAATACAACTGTGCCAGCACTCTGCAGCCTGTCACATTCCTATGTACGTTTCCTATCTGTGACCCTATGGAAGCCATGAGTGTTTGGGTGCGGTGCCTGTGTCTTCTTTCCTTTGTTGTTGTTTTTTTGTTTTTTTTTTTCCAACGTTTATTCATTTTTGGGACAGAGAGAGACAGAGCATGAACGGGTGAGGGGCAGAGAGAGAGGGAGACACAGAATCGGAAACAGGCTCCAGGCTCTGAGCCATCAGCCCAGAGCCCGACGCGGGGCTCGAACTCACGGACCGCGAGATCGTGACCTGGCTGAAGTCGGACGCTTAACCGACTGCGCCACCCAGGCGCCCCTTTCCTTTGTTTTTAAAATGCCTGAGGCTGTCATTAGGAGCCACCCAAAGATTACAGAGTGGCTGCCTTATAAATAGTAAACACCTTGCCATTGAAAGAGTTCTAGAAGAATCTTGGCTATTAGTCAGCTGGAGCTACCATAACAAGATACCATAGACCGGGTGGCTTGAACAACACACATTTATCTCTTTGCAGTTCTGGAGGGTAGAAGTTAAAACCAGGGTGCCAGCCTAGTTAGGTTCTGGCAGGGGCTCTCTTCCTGGCTTGTGGATGGCCTCCTTCTTGCCGTGTCCTCACACGGTGGCAAGAGTGAGCTTTCTGGTGTGTCTCCCATCCTGGGGACCCCATCCTCATGACCTCATGTAGCCCCAGTTACCTCCCAAAGGCCCATCTCCAGTTATCGTCACACTGGGAGTCAAGGCTTCAACATTCAAGTTTTGAGGGGGACAAGACTCAGTCCATAGCAGCAACCATAAGGGATATTTGTCATGGGCAATGTAAAAAGAACCCCTACATTGGGAAGAGCTTTGATCAGATCGTGTCTAAGGTCACTTCTAGTGTGAAGAGTTTGTAATGCTACTGCTGCCAACATTTTCTTCTTTTTTTTTATTAATCAGATGAACCTTCTAATCCTAAGAAAGCAAATGTGTTCTTCTCTTCCAATGGTTGTAATGAAGCCAGATCGGCTTTTCTTGATGATGACCGGGATTCCTTGGCACCAGATCAAAGAGCTGATGACACGGAACTGAGCAGTACTGACACAGTGGACTTCCTGGAGCCATCTTGTCCTGGGAGCCTGGACGCCAGCAGAGAGCGCACTCACTCACAGTCCAGTGAGTTCGAAGACAGTGCCAACTGTGCTTTCTTGAATGAAACATACTCCATACATTTTTCCGAGTCAGAACGAAAGAATGAAAGTCTCATTCGCTTAACTTCAGAATTGGATTCTGAAATGCAGAACACAGAAGGGGTGTGTTTTGATATTTTGGAGCATCAAGGTATTAAGATTATTGGCTTGGAAAGAACCTGCAAGATTTCAGATGACGATTATAAAGAAACTGCCGAAGATGAGCAGAAGCATGAGATCGACGAGGACTCCCAGCAGGAGTATCATAGTGCAGAGGAGCAAGAACACATAAGTGCCCATGTATCTTTTGACCAAACGAAAACATTAAACACACCTGATCTGGAGGTTGTTGGGTTAAGAAATTCGGGTTACGAAGCTGAGTGTGCTAGCCATCTAGACGGTAATCGTGTCGAGTTGGCAAGTGATTCTAGCATCTTTCTAGATTCAGTTGATGTTTATGAACAAGAAGATGCACCCCGTGGCTCCAAGTTTCAGATTTCTGTTGTGTTAAGAGACTATCACGAACCAAAGCATGACATGTGTAAGGAACAAGAGACTAGTTTAATGTACCACACGGTATTTGATGAAATTGTACTAGGGAGCAGTCCCCTTGAAAATCGGGAATCTCGATCTAAGAGTAGTTTCTTGAACCCTCAGAAAGCACTAAAAGCTACAACCTATACTGGCAAAATGAAATGTCAAATAATTGAAAGTAAAGATTTTTGTGGGAATGAAATCGTTGAGAAGCAAAAGTCGCACCACCTTGGAAATCCCAGCACATTACAAGAAGACAGAGCTTTACAGGTGTTACTCCAACCCGGTCAAGATTGTCAGACTTCCTGGACCTCTGCTGTTGATGATTCAGTAATTTCTCCCTGTGGATATTCACATTATAGAAGCCTACAAAATACCCCCAACCCAGCCTTAGATGTTTCCGTTACTACCCCGAGGATTACAGCCAGAGATCATGAAGCAGTGGATGAGATCTCTCTAAAAGCTGCTGATGACAGCACCACAAACAACTCGTGTTTTCCCAGCATAGAAGGAACACGTCCTGAGTTGGTGATGGATGCGGCAAGTGACAGAGTCACGGTTCATCAGACGGTGGATGTTTGCGCTGACTTTAGGGCTTGTTTCACAACCAGCAGGGCAACGAGTGCGAGACCTTCTGTGGTATCTACGTCAAGCAATACAGACATAACCATGATGAACAAAAGGCGGCCTGGGGAGTGGCAGGGTGAGAGACACAGAAGTGTGGCCTGTAATACAGATGGGCCACACAGCCGAGATCATGAAGACACACCAGTGACGATGAGCAGAGGACCACTGGGGAACTCTCTCTCAGTTGACAGTTCAGAGCCTAATGGAAATCTCCTAAACAAGGTAAAGCCAATGTAACTCATAAGAAAATTTTATTTGACCTTATATGAAGGCAGTGTATGTTATAATTGAGCAAATTATGATGGGGGTTCCTGAGGCTTTTGTGAGAAAATGCCGGATGAGGGGAAACGGTGAACAGATTGCTACCAAACTCTAGCCGTCTTTGGCGGCAGCTATCGATGCAAAGTCAGTTAGAAATTGGATTTTACGTTTTACCAGTTGGGAACTCCAGATACGACGTATGTTGTTTGTCATATCTTTCTAATTTAGTTTTAAAACATGTTTTCCAGGATTCCCTGGAATTAAGAAAAACATCTGCTATTACAGACTTAAAGAAACATCCTGAAAGGTAAGTCAGATGTATAAACTTAACAGATATACGTGGGGAAGAGAATCAGAAGAATAATTTGCTTTTTTGTAAGGTATTTAACCATATAGAATAATAGCTAAAAAAGACCTTAAGAGATCATCTGCTTCAGCCGTTTGCTTTCGAACAAATAAATATTAGGATAACGTATAATGTTAAAGCTTTTCACTTACTAAGATTCAGTCTCAGTAATTCCTTCAGAAACTCACGGCGTCTTATTCTATTTATTCTACCCAAATCTGCATGAATTTAAGTACTCCATTTTCTTTCATTTTCTACCCCTATAGACCAAAACAAAATAGCACCGATGAAAACCTTCACACATTGGAAGAAGTAAATAGCTACTTTCACTGGAGTATTTTAATCTTGATTTTAATTCATTGTGTAATTTATTCTGCATCCGTGGAGAACCGCGTTGCGGGTTTGGAGGGGAAAGGGGAGGTCTCTCAGAAGCCAAGCTAGTTGTCATGCTCTGAGGTCATTTACTTTTTCCTTCCTTCATTCTTCGTTCTCCTAATGAGTTTAATCTGGTATCCAGTCCTCTAAAATTAAATGGAAGCGCTCCTTTCCCATGGCAGAGGTGTTGAGAACGGCAGGAAGTGACAGCCAGTAGCAAGGGAAGAATTATTAACCAAGAACTATTAACGTTCGAAAAATAATAGTGAGTTGAGGCTTTTTGATCTATTTACAGTAAAATATTTGCTTATGAAAATGACCCTTAATTAATAAACATGTAAATCACGTCTGTATGAAAGAGAGAACACATTTAAGAACCGTTTCCATCCAGAATGCTCGCAACTTTAAAAAATGTGGGTCAAGGCTTGATTTAGGTTGAAAATCTTCTGATTATGGATGAATAAAATTGATACTTTACTTTGGAATCCTTTTTCGGTAAAAGAAAGCGTACATCGGAAAATTTTTTACTTCTCTGACTTTTAGAAAGAGTATGTTTAGCTTCGACTTGACATCCTTGTCTTCTGAAGCTATGCTGTGTTCGTGCGGCCTTTCCGTCCATAGTAGAAATTGATTGAAGCCTGGCAGGAAAAGGGAAGAAATGTTAAAATGTTCCAGAGGCGCGTCTTCCCAGAGAAAGATGTGTGGAATCTGAGCTAACCCAGTCTTTTATTTTCCAGGGAATCTCCGCCTTGTGAAGAGGCGGGGAGGGGTTTGGCCTCCCGGTGCTGTGAGGACGCGAGGCGAAGAGCCGCGAGGGCAGAGCTGCACCTCCTGCACCTTCACTACCAGCTGTGTCAGCGCCACTGCAGTGACATTTACAAGCTTGTCACGGAAAACAGGGAGGGGTTCAGCAGGTGATTGTTCATCGTAGATCTGTATCTTGGAAATTTACCACAAGCTTTCGATGTACACCAGAAAGCATCCTTAGTTTCTCTTTTCGAAAGGCAGAATGAAGGGGAGGTCGCATCCGGTTCTGTCGGCTGGCCTGGGGGTAGTGGGCTTCCAAAAGGAATCCGTTGCGACTTCGCGGAGAGGCAGCGGCGTATGTTGGGAGGAGGCATCCGGCCAAAAGATAGAGCTGACGGCTTGTTGTTGCTGTTGTTTCATAAAGTCCCAAGTATGGCTGAAGTCAGTTGGAGGGTTTTGCGTGACATTCTGCCACATTCTCTCTAGCCTGTATGTGGAGGGTTGCCGTGCCGCCCCTAGAAAAACATCTTCTTTGGTTCCTTTTCTTTTACTAACCATTTCAAAGAAAAAAAATCTGTATAGATCTGGTGGAGTTCGAACTCGGGGTGTAACATAATGCAATAGTGTTCAGTGGATGACCTATGCCTAAGTGGTTTTGTAAATTGAACTTCTGAACAGGAACCTATGGAGTAATTGTGCTAAGAAGCAATTAGGATCGGCACTACTGTCTGTCTGGGGAGACTTGAAGGTTAGGTACGAGAGCTTGAAGGACAGAATACACAAGGGCGGGCCGCTGGAGGAGCTGCCCCCGCTGTCTGTGGAATCGAAGTTACTATCGACCTTTTCTACTCTGGCTCTCACGGTATGTTTGTATGTTTTAGAATTCAGATTTTACTTCATTTACACCGAATACATCTTAAACTAAGAGATTGTTCTTCCCTTTGCTCTCTTTCCAGCTAATGAAAGAGGAATCACACGTGTAAGTTATGGTTTCATCCAATGTAGAATTCATTAGATCTTAAAAACTGCTTAATTCGGTTAACTTTCCGTTTTCTGTTGGTTCTTTTTCAGAACATTGACAGATTCCTTAACGAAGTGTTTCTCTGTCTAGCTTTTCAGGAGCAGATTCTGAACTAGATAATCAAAATACATGTGATGTTGACGTCCCTTCACGCCGAAAAAAGACTCCGTCTCAAGTGAGATTTTTAAAAAGTAGTTGATCGGGGGAAATCTTTAATTTTATGGCTTAAGCAAAGAAAACTGCAATGTTCGGAAGCTCTCACGTCTTTCTTTTCACTCAGCTCACTTTGTGTACTACCATTTGAGGGACGTAACTGGTTAGAAGGAACTTCATGTCCTGATCAGACCGATGTCAGTAGCGTATGTTCAGTGGGGTGACCATATATAACTTAGCGTCAAACCAGGAGACTTCTGAGGGTGGAAGGCAGTGACGTTAACGACTCACTGTGACAGTAGGTGTAAACCTGAACCGCATCGGGCAGACCAGGCCATGTGGCCACCATCATAGTGTGACCCAGGGTGGTTAAAACTAAAAAATTGTTGCCCGTGTCTCAGGAGGTAAAGTAATATCTCCTTCATTTTAGACCAGGCAGAGGTTTAATTCCTTCATGATTGAAATGATAAAAATAGTTTCTAAATGCCTTCCGTAGGTTTTCTCCATCTCTTTTGTTCCCCTAAGGACTTGTCTGTCAGATGGCAGTCCGTGCCGAGAGCACTCTGCAAATTGTGAAGTGATACAGAAACACAGGTTATGGTCCATCGTCAAGTGAGGCAATGGCGTAGAAAAGCTAAAGTTTATTTCTGTTTTCTGCTTTTGCTCTTACCCCTGAGGTTATATTATTTGAGTAGTCTTAAATAAAAAAATGCATTTCGAGGCCAAAAGTAAAATACTTAATATTGAGTTATATACTTCTGTATTAACACATGACTAAAAGCAAATTACTTTAGCAAATGATGTGTTCCATTGTCTGCTTGTTTAAAAGAATCTCAGTTATCCACAAACTTAACAGATCCACAGCCAGATTTTTACATCCTCACATTTCTCACATAGTTTGTTAAAACATGTTAATTTAGTAATATATAATGTTCTGGAGGATTTTTTTTCATCACTGTAGTGGGAACAGTGATATAACCTGCTTATTTGGGGACAACAGTATTGTCTTTAAAAATACAACATGCAGTTGGTGGGAATGTAGAACGGGTGCAGCCGCTCTGGAAAACAGCATGAAGGTTCCTCAAAAAATTAAAACTCCCATCTACCCTATGACCCAGCAATAGCACTGCTAGGAATGTACCCAAGGGATCCAGGAGTGCTGATGCATAAGGGCACTTGTACCCCAACGTTTAGAGCAGCACTTTCAGCAATAGCCAGATTATGGAAAGAGCCCAAATGTCCACCAACTGACGAATGGCTAAAGAAGAGGTGGTTTATACATACCACGGAATACTACTTGGCAGTGAGAAAGAATGAAACCTGGCCATTTGCAGCAATACGGCTGGAACTGGACGGTAGTGTGCTAAGTGAAATAAGTCAGGCAGAGAAAGACAGAGACCATATGTGTTCACTCACATGGATCCTGAGAAACTTAACAGAAGACCATGGGGGAGGGGAAGGGGGGAACAAAGTTACAGAGAGGGAAGGAGGCAAACCATAAGAGACTCTTAAAAACTGAGAACAAATGGAGGGTTGATTGGGGGGTGGAGGAGAGGGGAGAGTGGGTGATGGGCAGGTAAGAGGGCACCTGTTGGGATGAGCCCTGAGTGTTGTATGGAAACCAGTTTGACAGTAAATTATATTTAATAAAAAAATATATTAGAAAAAATAAATAAAAATACTAGGTGCAGATATAACAATTTTTATAATCTTAGTTTGGGCTTTAAGACAATATCTATTATAATAGGTTGGGATGAAATTAAATTGACAGGTTATATGTGAAAACCAGTATAGTGTAGGATAGTGTTTCTAAATTTCAGCTACTCATGTACTATCTTCACAATTTTCCATAGCTGTGTATTACCTATAATGTTGTTTGCTTTGTATTTTTCTTTAAATGAGTCTCCTTTTAAAATAATGTGTAAACGCCAGTCACAGTGGCCAAAATGAACAAATCAGGAGACTGTAGATGCTGGAGAGGATGTGAAGAAACAGGAACCCTCTTGCACCGTTGGGAATGCAATCTGGTGCAGCTACTCTGGAAAACAGTGTGGAGGTTCCTCAAAAAATTAAACATAGACCTACCCTATGACCCAGTAGTAGTACTGCTAGGAATTTACCCAAGGGATACAGGACTACTGATGCATAGGGGCACTTGTACCCCAATGTTTATAGCAGCACTCTCAACAATAGCCAAATTATGGAAAGAGCCTAAATGTCCATCAACTGATGAATGGGTAAAGAAATTGTGGTTTATATACACAATGGAGTACTATGTGGCAATGAGAAAGAATAAAATATGGCCCTTTGTAGCAACGTGGATGGAACTGGAGAGTGTGATGCTAAGTGAAATAAGCCATACAGAGAAAGACAGATACCATATGGTTTCACTCTTATGTGGATCCTGAGAAACTTAAGAGAAACCCATGGGGGAGGGGAAGGGAAAAAAAAAAA